ATGCTTTAATGCCATTTTATATCCTACAATAATTATAAAATAAAATAAATTTTAAACAAATTTGTTTGTTCCATGCATTGACGTCATTTCTTTCAAAATAAAATGCGAATATCGTAAAGAAAGCAATGCTCTCTTATATTTCTTCCAATTCATCCAAGAAATTCTTGAGATAGATTGAGTTGTTGAAAGAGTGTTACAGCTATTAATAGTACATAACCATGCCTCTTCTAGCAGTATCAACTTCAAACCCCAAGCCAACATGTGCAAAAACTTATAGATATGAATTCTACTATCTCTTTCGAAATAAAACTCCATATCAATGATGTGCCTTAGATAAGTAAAGAGACACATAGCAACTTATCATTATCCTTTTTTTAATTAATTTGTCTAATATACACTTATAACTCGCACTCCATGCACAACATCAAGCCTAATACAACTCCTAACATAATTAGACATACATCAATTCTCTCATCTGCTTCAAATTAGTTCTATTTAGACGCCATAAATGATTCTCAAAAGAATATTAATAGCCTAGATCTTGCACCACAAATCTCTAGGAGAGTTGGAAGCTCCACATGAGCCCCTTTGGTGTTGCCTATTTGCCAACATTATAACCTCCATCCAATTTAGAATGAGGTTGGATCAACAATAACATCCACAAAGTTTCCCATCAAGAATGTGCATTTAAAAGGAATAGCATGAGTTGTTTTCTTATTTAACCCACCATCTTCAAAAATTAGAATTTGAAATATAAAAGTTAAAAAAAAAATGTAATTTCATATCACTAAAGATCTACTCTTGAAGATAGCATGAGTTGTTTTCTTATTTAACCCACCATCTTCAAAAAGTAGAATTTGAAATATAAAAGTAAAAATAAAAAATGTAATTTCATATCACTAAAGATCTACTTTTGAAAAACCACAAATACATTACATTTTTTTCCTAACAAGTGAAGCAAATCAACCCATCCTCTTAAGATGGAGAATAGAATGCCATAATGTTCTGACTAATCTTCCTGGCAAGACATATTATTTGTCATTAAACATTTTCATAATTATTACTAAAAAGGTGATTAAAATACTAATTTAATCTCAATGTTCCAATTGTCATAGAGAAAAAGCCTAGTTTATAAAACTTCTTCGGCATGCAACCTGAGGCCAGCAGAGGCTACAAAACGTCCATTCCCGTTCCATCACCAAACCATTTGTTAATTCCTTAATGAACAGATTCCCTAAAATATGCTTGCATAATATCACGCAAGGCCTTTTATAACTTTCTATTTTGTAAGAGAACCGCTTATTAAAAATCATCAGAACCAACCTGGAACTTACTTAATCTGCACGTCTCATAAGAACCGGGCATTTACTTACATGCCACCCAATTGATATCTATTTACATTCATAGAACAAAAAAACTTTATTTTTTACATTTTTACCGCCCCTAATACTTTCATACCACAATAATATATCACTATTTTTTACTTTTAAAATGGGACACACATTCTCATGTATCTATTGTTGTGAAATTTAGGGCGAGAAACACATAATCGACGCAAATCAGAAGAACACACAGAGCTTTAACAAGGTTCGGCAAAGATGCCTACATCCTCAGGAGCAGAGCGACGGATTTTTTACATTTTTACCGCCCCTAATACTTTCATATCACAAGAATATATCACTATTTTTTAGTTTTAAAATGAGACATGCCTTCTCATGTATATATTGTTGTGATATTTAGGGCGAAGAAAACACACAATCGACGCAAATCAGAAGAACACATCAGAAGAACACAGAGATTTAACGAGGTTTGGCAAAGATGTCTACATCCTCAGGAGCAGAGCGACGGATTCATTATTTCAGAGGAGTTACATATTCATAGGTTACACATCATTTATAGATAAAACTCACAGATAAATTTACTCTGACTCCCCCCAACCCACCAATCCAAGAGACACACTTCTTCACACCAAGAGACTCATTTTCATTCCAGGAGACACACCTCTCCATTTCAAGATACTCCAAATTTCTTGGTATATGAGTCATACCTAACATATATGTTATATTTGTAAATATATTGGAATTAATTGGTATCCACGTCAATCTTCCCAAAAAAAAAAAGTGATTTATGCCAAATTTTTTTATATTTTACTGCCCGCCATGTATTCTTTCACATAAATTTTTGTAGGCTCCATGCATATCTATATATATATATATATATATATATTGGTGGAATTAAGTGGTATCTATGTAAATATATTGACTTTAAAGTTAATAGGTGTGATTAAAAATATTATCATAACTATCTATGATCCTAATTTTGTGTATAGCTTTGTCATTTCTTTTTTGTAGCCAAGACATGGGATCTAATCTCCGGTGCCTTGTCTTGTTATTTAAATTTCCTGCTCATTTATATCCCCTTGTAGATGCGCTAATTTAGGAATGAGCCTAGTTTTTATTTTTATATGTTAGTGCTAATATAATGACTCATCCTTCAACTGGTGAAGCTTGAAAATACTTGGACCGCAATTGTCCGAATTCACAGCACAACCGTGCAAGCTTAGGTTCGGGTTATGTACAGTTGGCTTCACACCTTTTAGTCATCCTCCAACACTCTATTCATGTTGATCAGTTATTATCACATCATATAATTTGCCTAGACTTAGAAATGAAATTACATAAGAATTATGGGGCATTTATGTAATTGACTCTTTATTTGTGTGATTTAGAAAATAATTAATTTAAGAAAAAGAGGATAATGGTCGAGTCCTATGATGCGGTGTTATTTTGTAAAAAATCACACATTCCCATCATAATGACTGCTCATGAAAGGAAAAAGGGGCATTAACTTAACCTTAATTACTTATGCTTACATATGGTACATGTATGGTTAACTCTCATAACTCAGCCCTTGACAGCTTTCACATTAATAAATAATGGCATTACATTCATACCACACAATTCTTATGCATTTACATATGCAACACCTATACTTTACTTTTTACATATATACCACCTAAATCTTTCATATCATATCAAAAATAACATCATTTTAATTTTTAATAAGTGAAGTACACCTTTTCATGTATATGTAAGGTGATATGTACGTAAAAATTGAAGCTTAACTTGTTAGATATGTAAATGCATAGGAATTGAGTGATATTCATGTAGATCTGCCAAACTAAAATAATTGATGGTCCACTCACGAAAGGCCCAAGGATAATTAACCCGAAAATTAGGCAAACTCGCTATGATACGAGACAACAGATTAGATCCGATTATGTGTATAGCTTGATAATACGCGACCTAACTTGTTTTTCTGTAATGCGAAAACAATGCGGAGGAGTAGAAATTCACACAACAATAATCAAATATAAAGATTTACGCGATTCGGCATTAAATCGGTTCGATTAAGTCCATGATGAGGGAGAATCCACCAGCTCCGGATGAGAGAAAGAAAATACGGCTTGGGCTTACAACTCAACACTTCCTCACCATAATCTCTCATAAGCGCTAAAGCCTCTTTTTATAGAGGAGAATCAGGGCATAGAAGTAAATAAAGCCAAAAGACTAAATCACTCATAATTAAACAAAAACCATAAATACGAAATCTTCTTCCTACAATTCAGGATAAGCAGTTTATCCTGAAACGCACAAGCTGCCCCAAACGGATCTAGTCAATCGCCAGCACGTCAGGGGCTTGGTTCGACCTTTTTGGTGATCGGCAATTCGGCCATTTCGGAAAATTAGCTCGGTTCTGCAATTTGGTATTTGTGCATTCAGATTCGAAGTTATCGAAGATAATACTCTAATTGTTTTTGGAAAATTTGATTGAATTTAACCACAAACTCGTGCATCGAATATACAAGATCTTAAATTTTCCATTGCCCATCTTCTTAAATGTACAAAAGAGAAAAGCTCATATTCAAAATTTAAAACATATAGCAAATTGTTTATATATAATACTCTCATACTTCCAAAAAAAAAAAAATATTCCATAACATTCATACCACAATTCTTATGTATTTACATATCTGCTTCCTACAATTTGATATTTACATCTACAACACTTTGTCGTCATACATCCGCTCATGAAATGGTATTTCAATTAGTGATGTTAAAGATTTGAGGGTTGTATGTATGAATAAAGAAGTTTAGGTGGTACACAAGTAAATATGTATGAATTATGGGGTATGTATGTGTTATTTTATAGCAATCACACATCCCCATCATAATGACTGCTGACAGCGAAATTAAGAAAGGCATTGTCTTAAATTTAATTATTTTATGCTTACATATATGTTTGGTACCTGTTTTGATACTATTCTCATGAAGTCGAAATCAAGATGAAAGAGGAATCCATGGATGAATTAAACAGCGTATTATGAAACTGTGTGCTGCTGCTAGTTTTAATTTTGAGATGAGTGATTAAAATTAAGTAAAACTCTCTTCAATTCACGAGCAGCTTGTCTTCGTCTCGTTCGTTAAGCCTAACGAGCCGAACACGAACAAATTTTTAAGCTTGAAATATAAACCGGTCGAACACGAACAAAAGTTTGTTCGCATGTGTTTTAATTAAATTTGCTCGTAAATAAATAAATAAATATATACATACATAATAAATACTCATAAATTAAATATTATAAATTATAATTAATTTACTTTCATACAAACAATTTTTTTAGAAAAAACATTATTTTAATTTTATATAACAAATTAATTATTATAATAGTTTTATATTCTAACGAGCTAGTTTCGAGCCGAACATGAGCCAAACAGAAACATGAATAAGTTTTTCGAGCCGAACACGAACACATTATTCACGAGCAATTTCGAAAACGAGCCCAACACAAGCCCAATATGAGCTCGCTGAGGCTCGGCTTGTTTACAACCCTACTTCCGAGCCCAACTGAAACAACTTTTAGATAAGAAAAATTAAGGTGAAACAGAGAATTTCAAACATTTGTGAAGCAATCGATCAAGGAACACAATATTTAACAATATAAACAAAGCAAAATTTGCATAAATATGATTTAGGGTCTGTTTGGGGCAGCTTATAAGTGCGGCGGTGTTTTTGAAAATGCCATATAACCACTTGGTTTGAGTGTTTTTGAAAACGATGTCTATCGCGTTTGTGTTTTTTACACTAAACGCAGGCCGCATGCAGCTTATCCTAAAACGCACAAGTTTGACACTGATTTCAAGCACAACGCTATCATTTCATAAGATCCAAAAAAACAAAACCATTCCACAGACTATGCAAAACCATTGAAGCCAGTAAATTCCTAGATCTGGCAAAAACAGCACCCATTACCATCCCAAGGAACACCAATGGCAACAATCTCTGGCCATTAAAATGTGCCAAGGCAAAAGCAACTGCGCTCGCCACAACAGCACACCAGAGTGGCATGTATCTGGTCAATGATGGGAGAAGAAAGCCACGGAACACAATCTCCTCCCACACAGGCGCACAAACTGAGACAACCACTGCATACAAAGCCATGGCCACCGGGTCGCGAGCAATGATCGATTGTTCAACGCTCGAGACGCCTACAGGTGGGGAGGTTGGAACTGGAACAAGGTTGATGTTAATCTGTGACAGGAAGTTAACAATTGGGAAGAGGAGACAGCCTAAGCCAACGTCTAGGTGCCAGGAACCTCTTAAGGTGAAGCAGAACCAACCGGGTGGTAGGGGGCGAAATCTGGCGAGGCAGGCATGGAGAATTGTGATGCCGGCGAGGCCTTCTGCTATATCGGTGAGAAGGCTGTATAGGGCCTGACCTCTGTGGCTTAGAGACTCCTTGCTGAAACCAGCTGCATGTCCTAAGAATGGGACTATCCAAGATCCTACGAACCAGAAGGAAGCGGTCCATAGAAGCATTACCTGCATAACAATACATTTTCTTTTTTTCAGGTTCAGCTTTTGCTAGCGTTTTTAAGTTTCATTTAAATTTCTCTGTAGTTTGGTTTGTCAGATTTAAAAAAAGTAGCTCTAGTGAATAGAGAAATTCTTCACAATGCTAAAAATTGAGTAAATGAATCCAGTTGGGGTCCTTTAAGTTACAAGCACCAAAAGAGCCTATTTCAATTAGCAGAAAAATCTTAGACGGAATTGCAGCCAAAGTTTTCTTAAAAGTAGGGGTGTCTCAGATGAGGTGTGAGTGTGTGTGGGTGGGCGGGGCGGGCGGGGAGCCACACAACACGAGCCGTTCACGAACAAAGAGTCGTTTTAATCACCCTAATCACGTAGCCAAAAAATGTTAAGGATTGGGGCAAGATTTAAAACATCATTTGAATCTAATTTAATAATTTTTATTCTATTTTCTTAATTAATACTTTTAATTGATCATAAATCTTTGTAGCCTTGTATACAATTAGATTTTTTAAAAATACCATTCATCAAAAATAATATATATATATA